ATATACAAGAGTTGCGATTTACTCCTAAGTGAAGAAATGAAGAGAAAGTGCGAGAAGAGTGAGTGAAACTCACTGTAATGCATGAAATCACAAGGTGGGAAGTGGCGATTCACATGGGAGTGAAGAAATGGACTAAACAAGAGGAAAACATCATCAAAACACTAGATCAAGCACATACAAGAGTTGCGATTTGCTCCTAAGTGAGGAAATGGAGAGAACGTGAAAGAAGAGTGCGTGAAACTCACTCTAATGCATGAAATCACAAGGTGGGAATTGGCAATTCACATGGGAGTGAAGAATAAGCTCATGGGGAGACCATTACTAGTGAAAAAAACTCCTACCATCCACTCTAAGCTTTGGAAAGTTCCCATGGAGAGAGAGATGATGAAGAAGAAGAAAAAAAGAATGTAGATAAAAGACCATTGAAGGAGTAGGAGAAGGAAAAGGAGAGGAGGAAGATGAAGAAGAAGAGGAAGAAGAAGAAGAAGAAATAGAAGAAGAGAAAGAAGAAGAAGAAGAAAAAGAAGAAGAAGGAGAAGAAGAAGGAGAAGAAGGGGAGGGAGAAAAAAAAAAAGAAGAAGAAGGAGAAGAAAAGTCTTCTTCTTTCCACTCACCTCCTTAGTATCTTGGAATTGAAGTGTCACTCTTGATGATGCTTTCTTCTTCACTTGGCTATGACTCCCTTCTTCCTCAAGCCCTTCTCATTCCTCTTCCTTAGTTCATCCCTGATGATGGCAAACTCCTATCACTATGCCTATGGAGTCCTCCCCTCTAGGAGGGCTAATGGGACTCCCTCTAGCCTTTCCCTCTTCCTCACAGTCTGAGGGTTATGGCGGATAACCTTCCTAGGCCAGCCTCACTACCACCAGCCTCTAGAGCTCCCCACACTAGTCCACAGCCTCCTCTAAGCTCCCAAACTGACAGGGGTTCCCCTCTCCTCACTCCAAGTGAGAGAAGTGTTCCTCTGAGCTCACTTGGGCAGCATGGGCACACCTCACGCAAATGTGAGTGTGGCGGATTGAAGCCTTAGCTTATGTAGGCTTGAACCAGCACTCCGGCCAGCCCATGGACCTCCGCATGTGCCTTGGGGTGAACCGAGGTACCCCCAAGACAAAAACTCACCACTAGGCCCTTCTGGGGGTACTTGGGCCTTATTTTGACCAAGTATATGCAGTTCGAGTGGTTGGTACCAACTCGGATTGCCTCTTGGCCTCCTTCAGCTTCTTTTTCATTTTCAAAATGTTGCCCCCTTGAGTCCAAATGCCCAAGGGGCAACCCCACTTAGAGAAAAAGGCCTAGTGGACCTTTTTCTCGATTTTTTTCAGTTTCTACTCCATTTTTGGTAGGCCGAGGTATTTTCTCATGCCTCGGTGCTATCTCGGCCTTGGATCTGGCTGAGATCCAATACCAACAATATTTTGTGCCACCCCCAAGTAGTCCTTGCTTCAAACTTGAGCCTCTAAGCTCATTTTTTCAATTTTTGGTGCATTTGGCTCTCCGTTTGGGCCAAATGCACAATTTTGTAATTTTCTCTTTTTTGTTTTTTTCCATTTTTGGCTGCCAACTCATTCCGGAGTTGGCCGTTTGAGTTGACCTCCTAAAAAACGACCATATTCCCTCCATGAATCTAAATTTCAGATCCATGGACCAAAAGAAAACCGATCATTTTTCCTTTGCATTTTCTCTCAATTTTCTCTTTTAATTTAGATTTTGTAGAGATATTGCCCCAAGGGTCATATCTCTGCAATCCGGATTGCCCTCCACTAAATGTGGAGGGATGAGGTCAAAATAGGGACCTGTCAGTCCCTACTGTACCAGTCCCAATAGGCCGACACATTCTTCTCCACTCTTTTCTGCCCCTTTGTCTCATTCTCCCTCCATTTTCTCCCCTTTTTCTTTTCTTTTCTTTTATTTCTGATGTGACAAGTGTTAAGTGGCTGTTGAGTCTTTTCCTAGGCCATGGATCCTCATCTATGGCCAGATTCAGACTCAGCAATTGGCCGTTATATCTCGGATTACAGTAATGATCCCCCACACTCAAGGGGGTTTCATTTTACCTCCGTTAGTCTCAATTTTGACCCCCTCTTGCTCCGATTTTCTTTTGACAACTTTTTTTTTAGTAGAGTCTTTTGAGGCTGTATTTTCTCATGCCTAGCTAGTCCGAGATATCTCGGACCGCTGGGCAACCCTTCCATCATCATTATTTTGCTTTTTAGTGATGCTAACATTTTCCACCGTTTAGATTTTGATCTTGACAGTGTCGCTTGCTTTGCGTGACCATTCCTCATGTTGGCTCATGGATTTCTTGAGACATCTCAAGTCTTTGCCACTTACTCCGCGCTAGATCCATTTTTTGTCCCGCCGGTAGTCCCCCCGACGCATGCCCCAATTTTCGACTAGTTTTATTTGGACCCATTTAGTCCTCGGCATCGTCCCGGATGTCGTCCCATTTTTATTTTGGGACCTCCTTGCCTTTGTAAGTTCTAATATCTCCTCCTCAAGTGCCCCATGTGTGCCTATTATTCTTGGCCGCGAGATCTCATCTCACGGTTACCGTTTACCGTCTCTATTTGTCTCATGAAACGATATTCACCAATTCGCAGTAGTTGATGTAGATCCCAGGGCTCGATCCCTAGTTCCCACCTTACCTGTGTATAGTACCTGTGTTGACCCATAGAGTTGAACCCGCGAATTGTGTATTTGTAACAGTTGATAGGTTGTCGTAGGGTCCATAGGTAGCATGGGTTTGATTTGTAGACTTGTCGAGTAGGAGTCTTAGTCAGGTCTAGAAGTCCTAGCTGTAGCTTTCCTGAAAGGTCAAGGTCGTAACTGCTACAGTCCAGAATGGTCAAGTCGTAGTTGCTACAGTCACGAAAGGCCAAGTCTACGACTTTCCGGAAGATCCCAGTAGTGGCCTTTCGAAGTTCCCTACGTTTAGACTGAGGCAAGTGGGCAAGTGGTGAGGCAAGTGGTGGAGTCTGCCCATGCTGAGTCAGCAGTCCCAGTTCTAGGCAGTTTGGTCCAGTCAAGCAAGCACCGCATGGGAATGTGTGCATTTCGGGCATGGGAAAGGGGCAGGCCAACGAGCTTTAGAAGTATAAATCAAGAGGCAGCGCTCAACCATTCATTCATTCCTGCGTGAGCCATGCGGAAGCGCTGCCACAGCGACTTGTGCAAGGAGGTCAGCAGTGAGCCTGAAGCTGAAGTGGGCGAGAAAGAAGGAGCGTAGCATAGCGATAGGGTAGTTGCGGCCATAGCCGCCATAGCTAGAGTTAGTGTGTAGCATGTGTGTGTGTGTGAGTGTAGAGTACGCGTGTGGGATATCCAGGGTGATCCACTGTATCCGAACAGAGAGTTGTATGGGCGCTATATCGCCATAGCCATTGGAAGTGAACTTGTATCTGGGTCGCCATATCTCTGAGTTTTCAGTGGGCGTATGTCGCCAGTTTGATGCGCTACTGTTGACATTCATGTAAAGTGTGAATGAAAGCAAGTCTGATTGCATTGGTATCAGAGCTGGTACCCGCTATTCCATGCGCTTCGTCGTGTGCAGGGAGTGATGCGCCATAGCTGAGGTGGCCGCCAAGAGAAGAAATCCGCCATAGCGGACCTGGAGGTTGGAGAAGCCGCCACGCACATGCAGAGAAGACCTCGACGAAGAAGAAGACCGAGAGAGAGAGAGAGAGAGAGAGAGAGAGAGAGAGAGAGAGAGAGAGAGAGAGAGAGAGAGAGAGAGAGAGAGAGAGA